AACCTTGCTATGCAAACCAAATACACACTGTTTTGATGCCTTTATTTGTTTCAAAATGCTGCAGAAGCCAGAACTGAAGGAGAGAACAAGTAGATCCTGTTCCTTGTATACTGTCAACGAAGATGCCTATCAATGTCCTTTCAGTTACTGTTGAAGGTCACTGGTGCCGTGGCTTTAAAACCAGCCAAAAGGTGGTTTTAAGGTGCAAAGGTGTAACAAAACACCAAGTACTGACTTTACTGTTGGTGGGTTTTGAGGAGGAGGGTGGCCCTCTGGGTTCTTAGGTGTGGTGTCACTTACAGCAGGTACAGAGCTCCTTGCTTACAGTCAGGAGTTAGTGTTGCAGTCATGTAGCATGTATTCATCCCGTGCCCCTGTAGGGTTTCTTTAATGATAGAATCACAGGATGGTTTGGGTTGGAAGGGATCTTAGAGATCATCCAGTTCCAACCCCCCTGCCATGGGCAGGGACACCTTCCACTAGACCAGGTTGCTCCAAGCCTCATCCAGCCTGACCTTGAACACTTCCAGGGATGGGGCATCCACAGCTTCTCTGGGCAACCTGTCCCAGTGCCTCCCCACCCTCTCCAGGAAGAATTCCTTTCTGATGTCCCATCTCAATCTACCTCTTTCAATTTAAACCCGTTACCCCTTGTTCTATCACTACAGACCCTTGTAAAAAGTCCTCTCCCAGCACCCTTGTAGGCCCCTTCAGATACTGGAAAGCTGCAATGAGGTCTCCTCGGAGCCTCCTCTTCTCCAGGCTGAACAAGCCCAGTTCTCGCAGCCTTTCGTCATAGGAGAGGTGCTCCAGCCCTCTGATCATCTTTGTGGCCTCCTCTGGACTCGCTCCAAGTGGTCAATATCCTTCTGATGTCGAGGGCTCCACAGCTGGACGCAGCACTCCAGGTGGGGTCTCACCAGAGCAGAGTAGAGGGGCAGAATCCTCTGCTTTTAGATCAGTGTTTAATCACTGTTAGATCGGTGCTGAATCAACAGATTCAGGCTGATTTTTGGTATTTCACTGCTCTTTTTTGGTATTTCTGTCTTTCTATTGCTTTTGCTTTTCCTTCATAGCTTAAAAAAGGCTTTTTTCCAGTGCTGGCACTGCTGCACCAGAGTTTCCAGCTGCACTGAGCAAACAGTGTTCAAGCATAAGCAGAAATGAAAGCACATTTTCAGGTGTCGTCACGGTTGTTATGTGCGGCGTCTCAGTTTGTGGCGGTTAGTGAGAGGGAAGGAGTCGTTAGGAAGGAAAACAGCATTAAATAGGACCTTCCCAGACAGCTCTGGGTTTCTTTTCGAAGCCTGGGGACACAGGTACGCAGTTTGATTTTTCAGAAGGCGCATCCAAACCTGCAAAGACCGAGCTGCGTTATTGAAATGCGTGAACTCCGCGGTGTGTACTCCTGGCAGTCCTGTCGTCAGCAGGAGGCCCTGTGGGGCGTGTTCTGCAAACGTGGAGCATGTCGCACGAGAAGAATGTGCCGTGTTCATCCTGGGTGATTTTAAAGTATTACAGTTCAGTTATTGTATGTAATGGGAGGGTGCGGGAGCTGAGCTGTTCAGCCAGGTGGAGAGGATGAAGTGCTCAGTACATAACAGGTTGAACATACAGTCTGCAGCTTTGTGTAAGACTGATTTTTTTACATCAAGGACGATTCAAAATGAAGCATCTTCTTTTCCAAAGAGCCCAGATTAGGGCCAGAGTCCTGCAATAAGCATAGATTTAGACTGGAATTTAAGCACAAGAGTGCTTCCAGCCAAGTCCCTTCCTTGAAGGAACCCTGTTTTTAGGACTGACACTTTTTAGAGGAAGGATTATTGGAAGTTTCACCTTTTCATCAGTCAGTATATGGCAGAGCAGCACAAGGAAGTATTTGCAAGCACTTCCTTTGAGGGAGCTGATCAAATTTCCCTGGGATGTCTTTGTCCTGCCTGTTACATCACTGTCAGTTATCCACGCAGACAAGATCAATTTCAGTAGAAAACCCAATGTGTTTAATTGTCATTCCAAATGAACTTCTGGAATAAAGAGCTTTTTTCTCCTCTCCTTTTCAATTTGCAGGAGGTCCTGGGTTATAAGGTAGATTACCACGTCTCTCTCTACATTGTGGCTGTTTTAGAGTACATCTCAGCTGACATTTTAAAGCTGGCTGGAAACTATGTGTTCAATATACGACACTTTGAGATCTCCCAGCAGGACATTAAAGTATCCATGTGTGCTGATAAGGTAAGGAGTTGGGATTAAAACAGGCTTTTGGCCAGATACAAAGGTGGATACTAGAGGGGATCTTTGTTTTTTAAGGAGATATATCTCAAGTAGGGTAGGAGGGAGAGTCTGGTCTTGCTCAAATGCAAAACCTTCTCTCCTCCTTCATGCCAGACCTTTCACAGTAAAGCCTTAAATTTAAGTTAAGCCTGTTAAGTTTTGAAACAGTAGTAGTACTCACAGACCAGCGTAAGGACAGAAAATGATGTTGTCCTTTATTTCTCAGCTGTGTTACTGTCCTCCTGATGTTGCTTTGTCATGACATCTCTTTCCTCCTTTACAATACAGGAAAGCCATTAAGTTTTCAGCCTCACAAAGATGAGAAACATTTTTGTTTAATTTTGTCTTTATCAGGAGGGTTTTGTCAAAGGCTTACGCAAGATGCCTTGTTTGCTTCTCCTTGAATTGTAACTTGTTTTCTAGGTCGTACTAACTTGGAAAGGGGAAAATGGCTTTGGCAACTGATCCAGCCTTCTTCTGCCAAAGTTTAAATATGACTCCCTTGTGAAAGTGATCTCAGAAAGTATTGTATTAAAAACTCAAAGGATTTCTCTGAACACGTTGAAATAGCTGAGCTTGAGCCAAGTGTAAATCAGGCTTGCGTGTGATTGGTTTTATGTTTCCTTGCTAGGTTTTGATGGATATGTTTGATCAGGATGACATTGGTTTGGTTTCTCTCTGTGAAGACGAACCCTCTTCTTCTGGGGAACTCAACTACTATGACCTAGTGAGAAATGAAATTGCGGAAGAAAGGCAGTATCTGCGGGAGTTGAATCTGATAATAAAAGTGTTTCGAGAAGCTTTCCTATCGAACAGAAAATTGTTCACACCTAACGTAAGTCCTTTGGTGGGTTACGGATGCGCGGTGCTGGGCGCTGCGTTGGCAGCCATAACGCATCTGTGGTACGTTCACTGCGGTGGAGGTAAAATCAAACGTGATGCGTCGTATGCCGGCGAAATAAAAGGGAGGAATTGCCGTTAACAGTGTGAGGATTTGCCAGTCACAATGTGCCATTAACAGTGCTGCTCTGAGGGTGAAACTTAATGGATATGATACCCTCTTGGACGCCAGCAATAGCTGGAGTCTTTTGGTTGTGTAGGTAATAGTTACACTTTTGCTTAACACAGAAATTACCTCCCTGCGTGTACATCTGCAGAAGGGACAAGTAAACCAGCCCTTGGCTCCAGCTTCTCTGGAGTGTGACTGACCAAAGGGAAGCTCTCTGATAAATTATTAAAATCACATTTGCCACACACCAATCAAGTATTTCCCTGATGCTGGAGCCTAAAAAAGGCAGCACAGCCCTCGTAAGAGAGGTGGTAATGAGAGATTAGTGAATCCTTCCAGTGTGAGGAAGGAGAAGGGGACCAGGCCAGCAGAACCGGAACTGGGATTCTTAGGGGATACAGGTTAAAAAGAGGCAGCAGGAGACGTTCCTGTTAGAGCTGAGTGTGGAGGTTCCTCGGTAGCTGATGGGATATCTGAGAACTGTGCAAATGTGGGGACAGAATTCAAAGGAAGGCGATGGGAGGAGAAGGAAGCGATATTTGGGGGTTGGGGAATATTCTTTTGTTGTTTGGGAATGAGAAATTCCGAGATGGCTCGTTCCCACAAAGAGGTTGCCGTGGTCTCGGCACTGGCAGGTCAGGCAAGCTTCGCACTGTTAGGCTGGGGCAGAGAAGGCTTTGGAGAAGTGTGTTTCGGAGGGGTCGGAAGAAGAATGTCGGTTGTAGTTGGGTGAGTTTGCGGTGTGTGGATTTGAAAAATCCAAACGCAGGATTTGGAGAAGGAACCTGCCGATTCCTCCGTACCCAGGTGGTATTCCGCAAGAGTAGCCAAGTAGCTGCTTCAGTTTTACCTGTGGTTTGGAGGGTCTGACCTTGGAGCCGCTTTAAGTTGCCTCCTTCCTGTTGTGTCCTGAGAGACAAGGATCGGCAGAGGGAAAATCACAGCTGTGCGTTGTGGCCGAGAGGACCAGGTGTCTCTGTCCAAAGCGCTGAACAGCCTGTGCCGGGACTGCTGCGGCTCTAGCCGGCAGGGTGGTGTGCTTGCTGTCACGGGGGTGGGAGCTGTGCAAGGTAGGATGTGCCCAGACAGGTCTGCAGGGCTGGGAAGGCCGTGTAACTTAATCATAGAATCATAGAATCATAGAATGGTTTGGGTTGGAAGGGACCTTTAAAGATCATCTAGTTCCAACCCCCCTGCCATGGGCAGGGACACCTTGCACTAGACCAGGTTGCTCAAAGCCACATCCAGCCTGGCCTTGGACACTTCCAGGGATGGGGCATCCACAGCTTCTCTGGGCAACCTGTTCCAGTGCCTCCCCACCCTCTGCAGGAAGAATTTCTTCCTGATATCTAATCTAAACCTCCCTGATTTCAATTTATACCTATTACCCCTTGTCCTGTCACTACAGGCTCTTGTAAAAAGTCCTCTCCCAGCACCCTTGTAGGCCCTTCAGATACTGGAAAGAGGTCTCCCCGGAGCCTTCTCTTCTCCAGGCTGAACAAGCCCAATTCTCTCAGCCTGTCCCCATGGCAGAAGTGCTCCAGCCCTCTGATCATCTTCGTGGCCTCCTCTGGACTCGCTCCAAGTGGTCAATATCCTTCTGATATTGAGGGCTCCACAGCTGGACGCAGTACTCCAGGTGGGGTCTCACCAGAGCAGAGTAGAGGAGCAGAAACTTAACTTTCTTCCTGGCTTTTTGTGGGCTCCGCTCCATCTACCGCGTGGTTCAGACTTCACCAAAAAAATTGCTCTGATATTTACATAAGCAACATAAATTATTCTGAACGCTACTGTTGTGTGTTTGCAGGATATCGACGTGATATTTAGCAACATTTCGGATATTCATGAGTTGACAGTGAAGCTTTTGGGATTGATTGAGGATACTGTTGAAATGACTGATGAAAGTAGTCCTCATCCACTGGCTGGCAGCTGCTTTGAGGATCTTGCAGAGGTACCGTGTTCTGTTGGGTTTTGTTCTTAAATCACTGATTGTTTTGAGTCTCTCTCTGATAAATTTGCAGCTGTAAAAAGTCCTTTTGAGATCTGAACAGAGATCTCTCCTGCCTGTTCTTTGGTAGGGAAGCTAAAGTGTGTTTTCCGCACAGAAACGATATCAAGCAGGTAAGCACAAAACTGACATTTCAGGGTGGGAACGAGTTGCTGTGGTCCTGTAGGGTTGCGGATTTGGCAAGTAATGACCTGGGATTGCTTACTGAAAGGTGGTGGTGCTTTGAGTTTTGAAGGTGGGGTGTCTGGCCCAGGGCTACCCAAAAATGGTAGCGGTTAGACATGCAAGATGAGTGACTTGCAATACTCTGGACAATGAGCTGACAGAATGTGTTCTGAATTCCGGCAAGTGCGTTGTTGCACATCTGGAATGGGAAGGGTCTCTGCAAAGCAGTGCCTGGGAGGGAATTGGGTTCGGGGAGGTCTCGGTGCTTACCACAGCTAATTCCACCTTGCTGCTTGACTTCCACACTCATTACAAACTTGGCGCCAAAAAAGGGATCAGAAATTTGATTCCAGGATGGAATGGATTCAACACTCACATTCCTCTTCACGTCTGATGCTGTTATCGGGAAAGATGGGGAGTGTGTGATGGCCTGCTACAAGAGGTCATCCAGTTGAGCAAACTGCACTGATTTTGTAGAGGCTGAGGGTGACCTCCTGCCTCCAGTGCGGATGGCGGTAAAACTCCCAGTGGTTTGGAAGAGACCAGTAGTTATTTCACCCTTGTTCTTTAAACCACTTTCTTATGTTGGGGCCCACAGCATAAGAGGGACATCGACTCATTGGAGCGAGTCCAGAGGAGGCCACGGAGATGCTCCGAGGGCTGGAGCCCCTCTGCCATGGGGACAGGCTGGGAGAGTTGGGGTGTTCAGCCTGGAGAAGGGAAGGCTCCGGGGAGACCTTAGAGCCCCTTCCAGTGCCTGGGGGGACTACAAGAAAGCTGGGGGGGCTTTTCCAAGGGCAGGGAGTGACAGGACAAGAGGTAACGGGTTTAAACTGGAAGAGGGAGGGGGAGATAGGACATCAGGAAGGAATTCTTCCTGGAGAGGGCGGGGAGGCACTGAGACAGGTTGCCCAGAGAAGCTGTGGATGCCCCATCCCTGGAAGTGTCCAAGGCCAGCCTGGATGAGGCTTGGAGCAACCTGGTCTAGTGGAAGGGGTCCCTGCCCATGGCAGGGGGGGGGACTGGATGATCTTTAAGGTCCCTTCCCACCCAAACCATTCCGTGATTCTGTGAATGCATTGTCAGGCGTGCGACTGAACAGAAGCTTGCTGTTCAGGATTGCAACACAAGTGCTGTCAATACCCACTGACTATGGAATAGATCTAAAGAGTAGGAATAAGGGAAGACACTGCCTGTGGATTTGATGTGGCTCATACTGGAGCATTATTAACAGTTATTTTGTCAGTTGTTTAGATTTTTATGAGCACTGAAATACTGGAAGGACTACAGAAGAGAGTCACAAAAGTGACGTTTTTGAGAGAGTGCAATAGAGCTCAGTTTAGTGACAGTAGGATAGGTTGCACAGGTACCTTCATGGCCTGAAGACAGAGAACAGAATGACTCGATTCAGCCCAAAGGTGCACAGCTAGAAAGCAGTACCTGAAAGGCCAGAGGACAGTTCAGCTTTGAAGTATGCCATACTGCTTTAACTGTCAGGGGAGCAAATTACCAGGGTAGGTGTGGAGTGCTTGTCTTCAGATACCTTTAAATGGAGTCTGCTTTTTCATGGGAGGTGTATGGAGCCCAGTTTTCTCACCCAAAATTGAAGGGTAATCATGTAAACCATGTGGACTGTATCGTAAAGGAAGTCAAATGAGATGTTCTGGCCTGAGGAGAGGAGAGAATATCTCAGGTGAACCACGTGGTGAACGTAAAGTTCATACTTTTTAGCTTAAAATTACGATGTCTGTAAAGAAAATGACAACCAACGCCACTTTCCCTTTTATGCATGCTCAGTTTTTAAAATCCGAGGCCTGTGCGAGCTCACCAGTACCGCTTGGGACACGGTTAGGTTTTGTGGGTGTGAGGAGTACGTGTCCTTCAGCCCGTGTGCTGAATGTACGCTTAGGAAGATACCCTGAAGATAAAGGGTTGCTGGCGTTATGCAATAAGCCACTCGTGTGACGTTTCAGTAGGAAAGTCCAGTTGACTGGGTCTTAGCTCCTAAGATGGTAAAGCTTAATTGCTTCTGTAGTGATAAGGAGAAGCATTTGAACAATGACTGGAAGTAACTAGCTATTATATTAAAATTGAAAAAAAGACTTAAAATTGGAAATAGTAATAGCACTATCCTGGAAAATATACATACCTATTGCAAAAGCTACTCTCGGGCATCCTGTGCTTTAAGGGAAGCAAATCCTTTTCAGTGGGTAAAAATCTCGCTCGATTTTCGTTAACTGAAAAAATTAAACAGGGAATGAAGAATGGATTCTTCAAACCATTTTTTTATGCAGGTAGTAAGTCTGGATTTAATAATTCTGTTAAAACACAGCAAGATCTACTTAATAACTAGGCTGTCCGTTTGATCACCTCACATGTTGAGATCATCCTTTGGTGAGTATTTGCAAAAGGGATCATTAAAGAGCGATAAAGTGAAGTGTTTATTTGCTCTGCCTATCTGGACTGCCAGGCTTTGTTCGCTTAGTGTTCCATCATAAAGGTCCTTCAACTTATTTGGAAGGATAATTAAAAACAAACAGTCCTTGCAAGCTGGAATCTTCCTGCTTTGTCTGGTTTTCTGCGTCAGTTGCCTGGAAGGTTTAAACATAAATACTGTGTTTTGCCATACAGAAGTAGGGGGAATAGAAAAGTGTTTTCGTGGTGTGGAGGAAATTCAAAAACTTTGATGCCTGGCGCAGGGTGAACAGCAGGTGGATCCTTGTTGATATGCTGGCACAACGCTTTTAGTTGGTGGTACCTTTTACAGTTCTGATGTGGTGTAATGACTGCCATCAATACCCTCTTCAGGGACGTTTGGCTAGTGGCAGAACCTCAGCTCTGAGGGCAGGGTGTCTTTGTGCCTCCTTTGACCTGGCCTCCAGGAGGCAGCTGATAAAGCAGGGTTACTATCAGTAGGTTGTAAATTTGTCATGCTGGTATTTGTGTTCCCATAGGAGAAGCTTTAGGTATCCACAGAGCAAAAGGTGGGAACCAGTGCGCTCCAGCAAAAGGGGCTGGAACGTACAGAGACCATTCCAGAGCTTTAGGCTGCATTAAGATAACTTACGGGCATCGAGTTAAGGTCTCCGTATTTCAGTAACTTCTGCAACGTTGCAAGGGTAAAACCCCTTGGTTTCTTAACTAGTCTTTTGGAGAAGATAGCTCGTGTAGTCGGTTTCAGTCTTGTGTTTGAAAAAACAAACCCAAAAACTCAAAAGACTGATTAAAGTCTGAGTGGAAGAAACTGAAAATATTTCTTGTGCTGGGTTCAGCCAGGA